GGCAGGCTGCGCCGCCCCCGCACCACCCTCATGGACGTGGTGGCCCAGCGGGAGGCCGGCGCCGACGCAGCGGGGTCGGTGGGCGAAGCCGGGGTCGGCGTCGCAGGGCTCGGCTCGCCACTGGCGGACGCATCGTCCGGGGCCAGCGCAAGGGGCTCGCTCGCCAGGCCAGCGGACGGCTCAGCTGCGGCGCAGCCCGCCACGGCTTCCTCCGGCGAGCGCTCCGCCCGCGGCTCGGCGCAGGGCCGGCACCGCCCCTCGGGCACGTTGCCTCTGCTCCCCACCCCTCAGCCAGACTTCGCGGAAGCGCAGACGGCGGAAGGGGCGGCGCGCCGGCCCTCGCTCACAGCGGGCGGCCTGTCGCCCATCGCTGCCGAGGACGGCCGCAGCAAGCCGCGAAACCGCCTGCGCGCCCAAAGTAACGCATACGCGTCCACGTCGCGGTCCCCGCCCCCGCCTCCCGACCGCCGGAAGCGGTCAGCCTCGTCCGTCTCCACGCCCAGGGCGGGGTCCGGCGCGACCCCGCCGCCCCCGCCCCCGCGCGGACACGCGACGCAGAGCCCCCGCGAGACGGAGCCTCTCGCGCCGCCCACGCTGGCGGACCCGGTCCCGCTCACGCCCAACACCCCGCAGACGTCCGTGGCTGGCTCCCAGCCGCGGCACAGCGTGGCCAGCGCGCGCGGCATGCTGGGCGAGGAGTGGATGCCGCAGCTCTCGGGCGGGACGTGGGAGGTCGCGGAGGACGAGATTGAGGTGACGGAGCGCATCGGCGAGGGCGCGTTCGGGGACGTGTACCGGGGCCGCCTCTGGGGCACGGACGTGGCGGTAAAGCTGGTGCGCAAGGGCGTGGCAGAGCTGGGCAGCGAGGCGCTGGAGGCGCTTCGCGCAGAGGTGACGGTGCTGTCGCAGCTGCGGCACCCCAACGTGGTGCTGTACCTGGGGGCGGGAACGCGCCCGCCCTCCGTCTTCATCGTGACCGAGTGGTGCGAGCGCGGGGACCTGAACTGCCTGCTGTACGACACCGCGGCGCCGCTGTCGGTGGCGGCGCGAGTGCGGCTCGCCCTCCACGCCGCGCAGGGCCTGACCTACCTGCACTCGCAGCGGCGCGGCATCGTGCACCGGGACCTCAAGAGCCACAACCTGCTGCTCACGCGGCACTACATTCTCAAGGTGGCCGACTTTGGCCTCACAGTGTTCCAGGGGGAGCTGGCCAAGGTGGCTGCCCCCGAAGACGCCGCCACGGAGGAGGACGCGGCGGCCCCAGGGGGCGGCCCCGCCGACGGCGCGGTGGGGACCCCGCAGTGGATGGCGCCGGAGGTCCTGGAGGGACACCGCTACGACGAGAAGGTCGACGTCTACTCGTTCGGCGTGGTGCTGGCAGAGCTGTGCTCGCGCGTGGAGCCGTACAGCGACCGGTTCAAGCGGTGGGACTTCGTCGAGGCGGTCTTGGAGGAGGGCGCGGCGCCCACCATGCCGCTGTGGGCGGACGCGCCACCCCCCGTGGATGACGTCATCGCGGCCGAGGCGCAGCTTACAACGCTTGAGGCGCGGACGAAGCCCCCCCAGGCGGCGGCGGCCCAGCCGCAGGCGGCGAGGCAGCGGTCGCACTCGAACGCGTCGGGGCACAGCGACGCGCACTCGACCTCCAGCAGGCGGCGGCAGGCAGCGCCCCTGGGTGCCAGCGCGCCCACCACGGACGGCTCCGGGCCCGGCAGCCTGGGCGGGGGGGGCGCCTCCGTTGGCTCCCCCGCGCACAGCTTCAAGGCCTCCTCCAGGGGAAGCTTCTCCCACCTATCGCTGCCCCAGCTCTCGCGGGCGCTGCAGGACGCCGCGGGCCTGAGAGACGACGACTTCCAGACCCGGACGACGGAGCCCCTCGTCGCGCCCGCGGGGGCGGCCTCTCCGCCCCCCATCCTCCCCGCCATGTTCCGCCGTCTGCCGCTGTGGTGGACCAGCGACGCGGCCTTTTGCGCCGCGCTCGCCGGCGCGGCCGACCCCTCCACGTGCCTGGTCCCGGGACCGTCCGCCGCCGGGGGGGTCGGCTCCACGGTCGCCTTTGCGCTCGCGGCGCTCCCGGAGCCCGGGCGGGCGACGCGCGACCTGGCCATGGGCGACGCTCCCCTGGTTGCAGCTCTGCGCCAAGCGCGCTCGGGCCTGCTGGCGGTGCCCGAGGGGGAGCGGTTTCCCTCCCGCGTCAAGCCCGCGGAGTCTTTGTCCGCCGAGTGGCGGTCCCTCCCGGGGCGCGCAGAGGAGTGGCGGTGCATGCACGGCGACTGCACAGGGGTGCTCCAGCTCCTGGCCACGGCCTGCCTCAGCCGCGACCCCGACAAGCGGCCCAGCTTCGACGAGATCGCCGACCTGCTGGGGGCGCTGCTCGCCTCGCAGCAGGGCAGGATGTTCCTGGAGCTCGAGGTGCCGCGGTTTCGCGAGGAGCTTGCGTATGGCAGCCGCCAGGTGCAGCTGCGCGCGGCGGCGGAGATCTCGCACGTGGCCTCTCACGCGCTGCTCGCAGCCAGCCGCGCTCTCTGCCCGGCAGGCTCGGCGGACGCCGCGGGGCTGTGGTTCCCGGGGCTCGACTGCGACGTGGCCGTGCACTACGAGAGGCAGGCGCTGGAGGAGCCGGCCGACCGCGAGGCCGCGCTTCGGCCGGGCGCGAGCGCGGCCACTGCCAGGGTGCCTGACGCCCTGTGGGCCTGCGCCGACCTGCCCTTCGCGTTTGCGAGCACGCTGGGCGCGGCAGCCGTCGCCTCCGCCGGCCCCGCTGCCGCTTTCGCTGCGGAGCCCCGGTGCCCCGTGTCGGCCTGCGACACTCCCGCCCTGAGGCAGGGGGCGCCCGAGCTGGTGGCCGCGCTCGCTGGCTGCATGCGCGCCCACGGCGCGATGCTGCGCCTGCATGCTGGCCTGCCGCTGGAGGCAGACGCCACGCCTGCAGTGCTCGCCCAGCTCGAGGAGCTGGCGGCTGCCGGGGTGTTCGGCCTGCCCGCCGGGGCGGCGCCCCTCGCTCGCAGGCGCACCGTGTCGGGCACCACGAGCCCGCCCGCGGAGCCGAAGCAGCACAGGGCCGGACCGAAGTCCTCCGCGGCGCAGGGACAGCCCCGCCCCGCCGGGGCGGTCCTCGTGCCCGTGTCGCGCCGGGCCCGCGACGCCGCGGCCGCCCAAGCCGCGGCCGCCCAAGCCGCGGCAGAGCTGCCGCCCAAGCGCGACGACGGGCCTGCCGACCCGACGCCGAGCAAGGCCAAGCCCGTCCGTCGCGCCCGGCGCGGCAAGGCCCGAGGCCCCGTGGGGCCAACCGCGGCCGAGAGCCAAGAGCTGCTCACGCGCTGCGTGGAGGCGCTGGCCGTGCTGCTCCGGGCCTCCGTGGCCACCCCGCGCCCCGAGCCGGAGGAGCCCCTCAGCCCCGCGCAGGCCGCGGCGGAGGCGGAGTTGGCGCGACTGAGGGAGGTGTCCGACTCGGTCGGACTCCTGTGGCTGCGCGTGCGGGACTGCCTCCTGCCAAGCCTGGGCAGGCTCGCGCACTCGCTGTCGCTGCTGGCGGTGTGTCCCGGCAGCAAGCACGGCGAGGGCCCCCTCCCCTCAGAGCTGTGGCCGAGGGACGCGGCAGCGGCTGCGGCGCTGCTGGTGGCCTGCTGGTCGGCCTGCCCCGGCCAGCGAGCCCGCGGCCTCCTGGCCTTCACGATCAGCCACACGCTGGCGCACGCCGTTGCAGCGGCCGCCGAGGCCGACTCCACGCCTGCTCGCGCCGCGCTTCGCTGCCGCGCCCTCCTGGAGCTCAAGCTCGGAGATGCCTCCGCTGGCCTGCCCTCGGCAGAGCTTCGCGCCGCGTGCATCGCCGTGCTTGACCGGGTCATCATGTTTGAGTGAGGCGGCGCCGCGTGGGCGAGGGGCGTCACGGTTTCATTTGCATTGGAAAGCGCGAGGCGAGCGACACTGGCGGCAGCGTGTTGCGCGCACTGCGCCGCGCCGCCTCACACGAACAGTTACAGCCTGGCTCATCGGGGCAGCTCAGAACATGCCCACACGGCGCATGATGTTGTGGCCGCGCATCGCGTGGAAGCCAACAGCACCGATGTGGACAGGGATCATGTACTCCAGCGCCTGGCCGGTCAGCTTGTGCACCTTGAAGGCCTGCTTGGCGATCGCGCCGTTGGGCTCAGCCGCGCCCGGGATCTTGTAGCCGAAGAACGGCAGGCCCTTGCCCCCGAAGTAGCCCATGGCGATGCCGGTGCCAGGAAGGATGATCATCATGGCGTACAGCACACCGTGCGAGAGCTTGCCGGCGAGCGCCTGCCATGCCGGGCCGGGAACGGAGCTCGGGGCCTTGGTCACGAGGCGGATAGCGACGCGGGGGACGATGGCGCCTGCCATGAGGAGCCCGCAAGACTTGTGAATGTTCATCAGCTGGCCCTTCCGCTCGCCCTTGACCTGCTGAGCAGCAAGAACAGTGCCGACGCAAGTCAGCAGGCCAGCCGCCATGATCCAGTGCAGGTAGCGGATCGCCGGCGCGTACCGCTCCTCCATCGCGGGGGGGACCTCGGCCTTGGGAGCGCTTGACGACATGCGCTTCTGCAGCGCCAGGCGAGAGCGGGCCACGGCCGGCGACGCGCGGGCAACGGTGCCGCGAGACCCAGCGGTGCGGAATGCCCGCGCGCCCTGCGCGGTCATGAACGACCGGGACGGGCCCATGCTCGAGCGGGCGAGTGCAACGGCGAATGCGGTGGCTTTCATGCTTGCGAACAGCCTCAAGTCGGGTGTGAAGAAGCCGGCCAGCTGGGCAGCAGCGGCCCCGTGTTCGGCGCGACGATCGACCAATCGCCTGCGACCTTGGGCAGCGCGCTGCAACTCGCGCGCGAACCTGCACCACAAGCGGATTCCGCCGGCCCCAATGCCGGAAAGCAGCCCGAGACAACGCCCGGGCCCGTCTCGGGCAAGACCATTGCGGATCGCTGGACGCTCGATACCGAGAACGGAATGCGAGCGGACGCGCAAGCGAGGCAAAAAGTCATCTGACGCAGGACTCGAACCTGCAACCTCCCGATCCGTAGTCGGACGCGCTATCCAATTGCGCCAGCCAGACAGATGAAGGGAGGAGAGCGAAAAAGAATCTCTGATGTACTGTTTGCTAGGATGCAGGGAATGTTGGATTCCGCACCGAGCGAGCACGCTCCCTGCGTTTCACCCACTGCTACAAGCGAGAGCAGCAGTAGCCAGCTCCCGGAAGAGCAACGCGTCCCGTCCCCAGGCGAGCAGCTTGAATTCCTTGCCGAGCTGAGAAGTTGGGCTGCCGGGTGGAACGGCGCCACGCTCGCAGTGAGACTGAGTGCCGACAGCCCCCCCTCCCCCTCCCGGTCAGCGCGCCCTGCAGCTCGCTTGGCACTTGGCACGGCTTTCCCAGTGCCAGTGCGTTGCCCTTCAGCGCTGACGATGCCCGGCGCATGTGCCAGCCAAGGATGCTTGAGGTGCGTGGAAGCGGGGCTGGGATGTGGCAGCTGCGAACCTACTCTGGCGAGATACCGAGACAACAACAGGACTTGCCAGTCATCTTTGCATGCGTGCCAAGGAGTCGTACCAACTAAGCCCGCCGACGACGGCGCCCAAACCTCAAAGACGTTGGCCATTCGAGGGACAGGTTGGTGCTTTGGCACGCTTGCAGGTCAGTCAGCCGAGCGCTGTCTGCCCCATTGTGAGAAGAGAGGCATTACCAGCCAAATTGATTGTCGGAGCCAGTCTGTTTTTGCCCCCGTGACGTTGTGGATGCGACCTCAGCGCACTCCTCTCGCAAGCAAGTCGGCGAGATACCGCTCAGCAAGCCAGATTCAGAGTCGTACAGCAGTCTGCTTGAGGAGCCTCGTCTCGCCCGGCGGAGAAACCCAAGCCAGACTGTGTTGCAAGTGCAATGCATCGCACTCCTGTGAATGTTCGCGTGTATTTGTGACTTTGTCTGAGACCGAACCTATAAGAGTCACACGTACATGTTCTCGAGAGAAGGGGAGCTTGCCGTTGTCTGGTGGTTCTGGACTTTGCGCTGGCAAATGGACAGAAAGTGAGGGTTGTGCGCAACAATATTTGCACCTATCTGGGTGATCTGAACCGTGGTGAGGGGGGTGACCCAGTTTCCGGCAGAGCTGTGTCTTGCTTCCGTGTTCGAAACGGAGCGTGATCAACTCTGTCGCAATCTCGAAGTGAATGCACACTCTCTGTGCTTTAGAATCGTGGCAATGGTGTATGAACAACAATCACACACTTGAGTATTGTTCAAGAGCAAAGTACGATACTTGGCAAAGGATCAAGGTCCTGGTAAAAGAAGGAACTATTGCAAGTATGACCCGTTTGCATGTTCGACCCGAGTGGTACCTGCCACAACAATGACTCGAAGTGGGATGCGCTTCTGCCGTACAAGCTGTGCTTACTGAGTGGGAAGACGTAATGCGATGACACTGTCCTCCTTGGAAGCTGTGCATTGCGTTGTCCAGGTGCCACACCTGACCTCAGCAGGTGTCTTTGTCGACGTAACATTAGAACCTGCTTCCGTTTCGATAGTCAAGACCTGACGTGAAAAGCAACGCCTTCTAAATTGGCTGGCACTTGAGTCTCGACTGAAGCTGAGCGTCGAAACACCGCAGGCGCTGTACTGCAGCACTCGTGAAGCAGAGACTCTAGCAGCACTAGCGATGCCTGATGCGCACCCGCAGTGCTCCACTTGGCCTCCGATTCATCGGCAGCCTCGCCATCCACGAGGAAAGAATCGTCAGAAATCCCACGCAGCGTGATTTTGTCCGTGCTCTTGAGTTTTTGCTCTTTCCGACGAAGCGCTTGCGACGCGAGTGGCGTCAATGAAGGCGCTGTTCCTTGGACACCCAGCGTCTGAATTCAAGTGCTCCTGCAGTAGCGCTCCGAATTGTTCGTGAGAGTTTGTCGACAGTCAACCCAGTAGGCAATCGTCAGGCCCCCTTTCCATTGTTGCCAGCTCAAGAACACAGCACTGCCATGGAGTCCCATAGCCAGCACCTGTTTCAGCCCCATTTTCTACTGATGGTTGGCTATGGCTTCAGTAGTGGTGTCTTCTCGCCAGTTCTTGCTAAGACCACGTTCCAGTATTCGCCCGAACCAGACTAGCAAAGATCCGCATGTCGATGACAATGACTTGCTTCATCATCCAGAAAGACCCATGTTCGCTGCCGTGAAGCATACACACGCAAACCTGCTCGTACCACCATGCCTCATCGCCTGCGATCACTCCACCTGCCAAGTTTGTTGCCGGCCCCCTCTTTCACACAGTCGGTCGTATTTTCTCCGGGCCTGGAGCTCGTTGTATGCGGCCTTTCGGGCGTCCCGAGGGTCCAGTGCTGTGTTCTCGTTTGCGTCCTCGCTGGAGCTGCTTGGTCACAAACCTGTGTGCCTGGGCTCACTTTGGGTGCGAGGGAGGGCTCCACACCCGTCGTTCGCGACGATATTCGCAACGCACTTGCCAACTTCTCGTTTCGATATCGACACAAGCAAGCTTGCCTCTCTGCATTCCAGCCCGCTGCCACAAGGCCGCACAAGTTGGCCCCTTGTTCTGTCGCTATTTCTGCTTGGGCAGCCTCAGACGCAGTGCCGTCCCTGGCCAGCGATGCCCAGGGGCGGCCCCTGCTTCCGGTCCACGCAGAGCTTTGAGCTTGGGGCGACGCGACCCGTCAGCGCTCCGGCGCCGTGGCTCTCAGCATCATCATTTGGGGGGGGGGGGCGGGGGCGAAACTCTCGTGTCACAAGACCTCACGCACGATTCACAGCCTCATCCGAACCAACCCAGCCGGGGTCCAGCGAGGCCGCGCGCAAGCGACCGGACCTGCGGGTGCACGTCGACTTCGAGACCACCCGTCTCGTCGACGTGCAGATCACCTCGGCGGTGAGCAAGTCCTACGTGACGCAGGGCCTGCAGAGCATGGACGCCTTTCTCGAGCGCCGTGAGAAGGACAAGATGGGGGAGTACAAGAAGAGCTCAGCTACAAAGGACAACATGAGCTCCATTGTGCCCTTCGTCGTCACGACCACGGGACGCATGGGACCGGCGGCCTTCGCCTTCCTCAAGAAGGTGGCGGACACGGCCTTTGGTGACCGGCCGAGGGAGCGTGCGCGCTGGGCCTTTCGCTGGCTATCGAGGCTGAACGAGGTCATCGCCAAGGGACTGGCGACCCAGCTGATCGGGCAGACGCAGTACCTGCGACAGCAGGTGGAGCGTTTGCGGTGAGCAGGGGTGGTTGAGTGGCGACTCGTGGCGGTGTGATGGAAGTGATTTGGGACTTGGGACTTGTGATTGCGGGTTTGGCGCGGTTTGTGATTCATCGGTGATGGAGTTGCTGGATTGGTGATTGGTGAGTCTGTGAATTGAGTGTGTGGTATGGTGACGCGAGTTTTCGACCCCCCCCAACGATGTTCATTCACGCATCAGCTCGAATCGGAGGCGTTACCGGACAGCAGGAGGATGCCCCCCATAAAGCCAAGCGGCGGCGACGGTGCCATCGTTGGTTGCACTCGGCTCGTTGGAGCACACCGGCAATGTAATCGCAGCCGCACAGATCCAACGCTACCTTGCCAGTCTGCGATATCCATTGCCCAACCGATACACAGAGCCATTGTCCTGGCAAGACAGCTTGCAGCACATATGATGCTTTGCAAACACTCAATGCCAGCACAGCCATGAGCGCGGACTCACCAAGCTCTGGGCTTCCACTTCTACACCGCGGGCTACCAGCACCTCCACAGTTTCTTCGTAAGTGTTCATCACTGCCACCATCAGTGCCGTATGGCCATACTGCGACGCCACGTGCCCTCAGCGACCACAGCCCCTCACAACATGCGACGGGCGCCACCTCCCGCCAGCCAGCCAGCTGTCCACGCCTGCCTTGACGCAGTCCCGATTGCTATCGCAGTCCACGGTGCGCCCACTCCACGCACGCTCTGTCCGCCCCCAAAACGGCATCCTTGTCGCCGAACTCACGCGGTTCTTGGCCTCCATGTCAGCGCCCCAGTCCAGCAGCAGCTCAACAGTGTTCCTGTGACGCCCCCCTGCCACGTCCATCAAATCCGCGTAGCTTCGCTGCGTTACCACGTGGTCTCAACGTCTGCTGCCCTCCTTGTGGCATGCAACGGGCGTCGCCTGCCGCCAGCCAGCCAGCGGTCCTAAACTGTCATGACGCAGCCCGATCGCCATCGCAGCCCACGGCCCGCCCACATCACGCACGCTCTGTCCGAACCCGAAGCGGCATTCTCCTCGCCTGACTCACGCAGTCCTCGGCCTCCTCGTCGGCGCTCCAGCCCAGCTGCGTCTCCACACCCTCTCTGTGACGACCCTCTGCCGCAGTCATCAGCGCCGTGCAGCCACCCTGCGGCAACACGTGCCCTCAGCGACCACAGGCCCCTCTCACAGCATGCGACGGGCGCCGCCTCCCGCCAGCCGCCCAGCGGCTTTCAGCACGCATTGATGCAGCCCTGATCACCATCGTAGTCGACGACCCGCTCACTGCACGCACGCTCTGTCCACCACCGAAGCGACATCGTCCTCGCCGAACTCACCCGATCCTTGGCCTCCACGTCGGCGCCCCTTTCTAGCAGCAGCTCAACAGTTTCTCTGTGACGACCCCCTGCCGCATCGATGAGTGCTGTGTCGCCATCCTGCGGCACCACGTGCCCTCAACGACCACAGTCCTCGCGACATGAGACGGGCGCCGCCTCCCGCTTGCCGCACGGCGGCTTAGAGCCTGCCATGTCGCAGCCCTGAGAGCGATCGCGGATCGGGGCCCGCCTGCTTCACCCATGCGCCGCCCGCCCCCAAACTGCATCCTTGTCGCCGAACTTACTTCGGCCTTGGCCTCCAAGTCGGCACCTCGATCCAGCAGCAGCTCAACAGTGTCCCTGTGTCCATGCCGCGCCGCAACTATCAGTGCCGTGTAGCCAAACTGCGACGCCATGTGCCTTCAACGACCACAGCCCCCTTCACGGAATGCGGCGAGCGCTACCTCCCGCTCACTATCCAGCGGCACCCAGCCCGACATGTCACCGTCGTCATTGCGGTTTGCGGCCTTTCGGCTTTACCCA